AGTGAGTAAATAAGTTTTATCCTGCCAGAACATCACACAGATCAATAAACACCCGGTGACACAACGTGCCACCATGCGGATGAAGATCACCCGTGGAGAGGTCCTGAAAACCACGATCAACCGTTAGGTTATATTAGAGCTCCTGGCAACAGCCAGAGTAGGGTTTCAAAATAATGAAAAATTGCATCCCACAAAGAAACAGAGTATACATTATTGATACATTAGGCAAGATTATATATAACTGGCAGTTAAAATATGTCAGAAAGTTATTTATTCGGCATGCACCGACTGTGTCATACACAATTTTATTATACCCTATCATTAGAAGTTATGTTTGTTCCAGTCACATACATTGTGTTATTGTTTTCCTATTTTTTCTCCATTGTTCCTCCATAAAACTAATACAAGAAAAAACAGACAATTAAAGGTAAGCCCCCATGTGGGTTCCGGGGCCCCATGGGGGTAGGAAGTAGGGGTAGGGGGTAGAGAAGGGAATAATAAACCCACTAATCCCTAACTAGAGTTGTCTAATTAGGGGTTTCCTTTAAAGTCGGAGTATATCTGCCTAAAAGTAAAGGAACCAACAGTTTGCACACAAGTAAGCAGGACTGTAAAACGGATATGCAGTCAAAAACGTATGTTCTTGGACAGGGCTAAAGTCCGGAAGTGAACTAATGACCAGATCACGGAAAAGAACAAGTGTTTTGGCAGTTTGATTATTTTCTCATTCTGTCTTTTGTTCCCTGGATGGTTCAGTAACATATCTAGAGACACAGACTTTTACTGGGGCATGCTTTCTCAGTGACTCGATGAGTATGCTCATGAAGATAGAGAAGGGCTGGGTCCGAAGTCAGTAGTTGGTGGCTCTACAGAATTCGCGGCTGACAAGGGTTAGTTTCATTTTCGTGCTAGGATATGTGGGGGTACAGGGAAATGAGCAGCCTGATAGGCTGGCAGGTAAGGCTACTGTGACAGCCGGACAAGCCATGGACCACGAGGATATACTGAATGCTCTAAGAGAGTTAAGACGTTTGTGTGAACCAAGTGAGAACTGTGAATCTGCAACCGTGGTCAGACTGCAAGAATAACATGTTAAACGATGTGTCGCCAAGCAAGAACACTACGCGGGTAGTCAAAAAAGAATAATAAACCAACACAGAACTGGTGTCATTTGCCGCTACACGCTGGGTGATTTACTGAGGAGGGGATCCGAGCACTTATGGACTGAGTGGTTCGACGTGCAATAAGGATAATCTGTCGACTAACTAACTAACTAACTAACTGGGTTCCAGGGCCCATTGTGGGAATGACCGTATTAACGTAGGGGCTTACTTAACCCCGCACCTCTTCGAACATAGAGGCCAGTGCTAATCTATGTATGTAGAGTGACTTGCCATAAATAAAAAAAAATATTGACGTATAAATTAATTATATTGAAAATAAAATAGTTCACCCTCATATATAAAGTAGAACCCAGCCGTCATAACAAGATAATGGGAACCTGAGCAAACTACTGTGCTACAACAACCACACACATTAATTAAATGTAAATGATCACTAATATTACACACATATTTAGGGGCCCCTGTGTTCGCGAGGGGGGGGGGGCTGGGGGGGTGGGGGATGTCCCCATGTGCCAAGACGTCATTGTATCAAAGCCATATTTCAAAAATTACCAACATATACATAAATAATGAAGCAGGTATAGGTAAAAAAAAAAAAAAACCAGCCATTTACCCAAACCAAAAATTAAGTACACACCGTGGCAGGGTAGGGAAGGATAAATGGCGTATACACAGATATATTGCTTTGGACATTGTGCGATGGGTAAGATACATTTTTATTTTCAACCAATTCCCACAGTATCTATATTTTGTTGTTGTTGGTAAAACAAACTTACTCTGATACTTACGTCTTTGCGAAACCTAGCGTTGAACAGACCACAATCAGGTTTATAACAAAACAATGCAAGATTCGGTCTTGGAATATTTGAAAGATATGAATTGTAGATGGAATTAAATCATATCACCATTTTCCAATTATTAACGCCATGAAAACCAACAAAATAAGATGGATACCAGGTAAAGATACCTTCATAGCATAGTGATGTGTTGGTGTAATGTTTGAGGTCTTATATATATATATATATATATATATATATATATATATATATATATATATATATATATATATATATATATACGCGCACTATTCACTAGTACACACGAAGTAGCGATTCCAGTTTCTTTACTCGTTACCTTTCCTTTACTCGAAATTTCCGTTTTGCTAAGTTAAAAAGAAAAATGCAGGAAATATTGGGGGGGGGGGGGGGGGGGGGAGGGAAGAGAAAGAAAAATGTAAGAAAAAATAGTTTATGTCAGCTTTACAAAACCAATTACAAGACACAAATAAAGGCTTCTCAAAAAAAATTGCAAGGAACAAACAAAGGACGTTGAGGAGATTAGTCTTCATCAGAATACAACACAGACACACAAAAATACTCTGACTCTGAAATTACTATATTTAAATAGTATGTGCACCACTAGGAAAAAGGGAAATCGCCGTGGCGTTGGCGGCTAGACGCCTACCTGCTATTTAGAAGGTCGTACGATCGCGTCCGAACGAAGCCGGACTTTTATTTTTTCAAAAATGACCTTGACTCCCAGGTCGACCCAGTCTTGAGTGGGTACCAGGTGCAATCCTGTGAATTAAAGGCAGCCAGCGTGCCTTCCAAGTGCCGATTGGTCCTTAAAAATAAAGGTCTAGCCCTATATTTCTAATATGCCTAAAGGCGTGGAAAAGGGACCTTTTCTTTACTTTTACCACTAGGAAAAAATAGTTGTAAATCAGACTTATACTAAAGTAAGTGACACTTATCTGGATTCCTAGTGAAGCTCCGAAAGGAAGTGACCAGGCTGACACTGGCTTATTTAACCATGATCAGACACAGAAAGTGACACTGGGACAGTACTGTGTTGGGCTGTAGGCAGCCGAGAGAATGGTCACCAGTCGTGCATTTAAGAAGGGGACCAAAGCACCGAGAGAGTACAGGGAGACACCACAAATGGTCAGCTAATGGATGAATTATATACACATACACATGCCATAAGAGGCATGCTAATGCGTTGTAAAAATACAGATGCATAGACAGACAAACAATCAGACAGACAAAGGAATTCTATCATGAGAACATGAGTTTTGGGGCGCACATCCGTTTTACAGATCTGGTTTATTTTCATGCACATTGCCTGCCCCCCTCCCCAGTCTCCTCCCTTTCTAATTCATATGCATTACGATTTCAGAGGAAATTCCCATAATTAGTCGTCCTTTGCCACGTGGTTGTTAGGGAAGCGCTAGAATGGGGCTCCGGAACCCACACAGGAATCTTAGGGTTGTTCAGTTATGAGTTTAGGATAGATATTGTTATTCTAAACTCTCTCAGTGAAATTTATATATGTATTTTTTTTTTCACGCGTGTGGGTCCCGGGGCTTTATTATAGGGAAAACCAGAATAGACCCACTGCCTACCCGAAAGCATGTAATAAGAGTCGACTAATTGGAAGCTTCCTTCAAAGTCGGAATGCATTTGCCTGAGAGGCAAGGAACCAGCAGTATGCATACAAATTAGTCAGATCTGTAAAACGGCTGCACACACAACACCCAGGTTCTGGAACATGACTGCAGTCCAGAAGTGGATAAACAACCAGAACTTTCCGCCAGTTTACAGCTGGTGAACGCGAAGAAGAAGAAGAAATATGTATTTCTTCGTCTTATTGTCCATGCCATGTGGCGTTGGAAGTCATGTCTATCTACAGTGTGATATGGCGGTCATGTAATTTTATTCATTTCGGACACAAAGGAACATCTACAACAGTGGCTCTCAACCTTCCTAATGCCGCGACCCTTTAATACAGTTCCTTATTAAATGGCGACTGAGCCTAAAATGTGCACACTATCAAATGCCCTGAGAAGTGGAGACGGCCAGCGTAGTATCTAAAACATCTCATACTTAGTAGCAGTTTGTCTATATAAAGAACAAAGAACTTAAAGACGATTATTTCAGTTTAGAGAGATTGCAGCAATCGACCACGCGTGGTGAATACTGTGTAAACAAAATGACATCGTGGTTAGCTTCCAATTACTGTAATAACATCTTCTGATATATTTAACTTTTCAGTGGTCAGTAACTGTTACTTCAACTCTTGATAAGATAAAGATTTTATACCTTTCTAGCAGTAACCTTACATTGTCATGAAATTGTAAAAATATAGTTTCGGCACAGAAGAAACATGGTCCATTTAAACAGAAAACTATGAACGTATTGTGAATTCTCTGGGACTACGAAACTAGTTCTCTGGGAATTTTGTACCTCAGTTAAAAGGATTAATTTCTTTGCTTTATTTTTTCCTATTTAGTTTGCAACTATGAAGACGAAACGAAATGTTGCAGTCAATAAATAATGCGGAAATAAACATTAAAATATGAATATTTCTTGGCGACTGCGGTACTAGCCTTGCAGTACAACCCTCAAGGTCAAGACACCCACCCTGACAGCTATTTAAAAAACGTGCCACACTGTAAAAACAGGTTTAATAAAAATTTTACAGAGAAAAGTCCAGAAAAGGGCGAACAAACAAGACTTTTGCTCTAGTTTACTGTCGGTGAACGCGAAGAGGAAAAGGTAGATGAAAAATAAATGAATTTATAATTTTCTATTTGTGTCTTCTTTGTCCACTGACAAGACATCAACGTGGCAGCTTCGGTTTATGTTAGTTAAGTTGCCTTTCGTGTATTCCTATTGTTTGATTTGATTTATGTATGTGCTGATAAAGGCTCTAAAACCGCAACGTTGTTTTTTTTAGTTTGTGATTGTTATATTGTTAAGCTCGTTAATTTACTTTTTGTTTCGTTTTAAATATTTCCATGACATTCTTTTTTAAAATAAAGTTAACAATAACGTGGTGTTAGTAAAGGTTAGTTCCCTCATGCCCCAGCCCAACACCTGAAATGTATCGCTGCCATCATCAGACACGCTGTCAGATACCGGGATCTCAACCGATGACCACCTGGTCCGGCTGGCTTTGTCCTGATCTTTATCCAGGACGTAGTAGTAGACTTTTCCATTGGGCATGTGGCGGCCGTAGCCGCTTCCGGAAGAGCCCAAAGTGGTCATGGAGTCGCCTGGATTTCGAGAGGTTCTGAAGGGGTACAGAGAAAGTAATGACCCACTTATGGAAGGTTTTCGTCGGTTTCTAGAAATGAGAAAAGTAAACTAATTTAGCTTGGCAATTTAGAAACATGATATTATAAATAAAATAATTACACGTGTTTCCTGGTGTCATTGCAAAAATCTGAATGATTTAAATGAGAAAACTGCATTTGTTTCATATAATATTTGTCGACTTAATCTCGTCATGGGATGCAATTTTTAGTTATTTTGAAGCCTCACCCCGACTTTTGCCGGGAGCTCTAAATATAGCCGGGCCTGAAATATGACCAAACGACTAAACGGAGTTTCCGGAACTTCTCCATGGGTGATCTCATCCGCATGGTGGCGCTTTGTGTCACCGAATGTTTATCGCTTGTGTGATGTCCTGGTGGGGTACAACTTACATACATACATTTGTTTCATACAGTAATTTAAATTATATAACTGAGAAAATTAGATTCTCCTCCTTCTCCTTTCGTGTTGACCCAAAGGGTAATTGGGTTGTGCCCGTTTACAGGATGGCTGCACAATTTGCGCCTTTTGACTGACACATCCGACTTCTGCAGGAATTTGTTGATGGTGTTAGCCTTTCGGGAAAATTAGATTAAATTCCTTTAGTAATTACAACAATCTAAATTCTACAAATAAGTAAATTACATTAGTTTGCAGTAATAATAACACAAATTTAAATTCTATAAATAAAATTATTGCATGAGTTACTCATAATAATTAAAGAGATTTGCATTTTATAAATGAGACAAATTAATTTAGTTTAATTTAGTAATTACACAAATCTGAATTACGTAAATTAGAAAACTACATTAGTGTCAGGTAGTAATTGAGGAGATCTGAATTCTTTAAACGAAAAACGGAAACTAGTTTACTCTGGCGAATAATAAGATCTTTTGTATTTATAAGGACATCAAGTAAAGTACGTACAGTGAGAAACAGAGCAATTACATAGAGAGGAGAGAGTAATGGCAGCGGAATACTCACCTCTGCAACCAAGCATGTTGATTAACGTCGTCATGGTCACGAATAAACAAGTTTTCACTTCTTTGTGTTGTAGGCCTAAGGACAACAGAGATAAATCATTGCCTTTTAGCAACTAGAAAACAGTCTAAAAAAGTATCACTGCTGTCTTATGATTTTTTTCAGGTCGGTATAGACGGAGGCGGAGGAGGGGAGGAGGCTTGAACCTAAGGACATAGGACAGTCTGGCTAGTGATGTCGTCACGCGCTATGCAGTTAAGAATGTTTGATTTGCCTCCCCCCCTCCCGACAGGAAAACTCCATCACCTTACCGGGGTTCGAACCTAGGTCTCCGACATGAGAGCGGGACGTTGTAACACTCTGCTAGACGCTCCTCAAATAGAAAAGAAAACTCATAAAATTTGACTCCCAATGGAATGTAGAAAAAAAAAATGATTTCCAATATATATTTCTAACAATAAATACTTTTATAACCTCCATTCTGGAGACAGCACAACACAAAAATAGCAGAAGCCTACTCACTCTATGTTGAATGTTGAGCCCAAGAAGTTAGGTCTCATGAATCTGGCAGAAGATTCGGTGTAAGGTATGTCTGGGGCAACGTCGTTCCAGAACCCATCTCTCACCAGACTTGGGTATTTTCCATAGCACTGATCCACCAAAGCAAAAGCCACCTGTTTGTTTAAGATAATATAACATTACAAAAAAAAAGTTTGATGTTTTGAGGTTTTGAACAACGGATCTACATCATGGCACACGGGTGTAATCCATAAGTGCTCCGTTCGTCTTCCAACTCGTCTGAGTCTGAAGAAGCTCAGCACAGTGCACATAGCACCGGCGAGGATTCTGAAATACTTTGGGTAGATTTTTAACTCCAAATTTGGCCAGGGCAGCGTCGTTGGGCTACTCTTTTTGATTTCCAACTGCTAAAGGATTTTTTTTTCTATGCCCAACAATGCACATAAGCGTCCGATCTCCCTACCGAGAGACCAAGGAAAATACTAGAAGTCCAAGGCCACGTGAAAAAAATCCCAGCACCATGCCTCGAGACCACGCAGCCCCCTATTACAGAAAAGGAAGCTATAACATCATTATCACAAGAAAGTAATCATGTAAATACTTACATCCTAAAAGATCTGAAGAAAAAGGAACATTGGCTAGGGAACAACATCTCGTATCATTAACTGAAATATAAATCAAGCACCATGCCGGGTTTGACAAATAATAGAAGAAAGTATAGTCCCAGAAAAGAAGGGCAATAATTGTCAACAAGCAGGAAGATGGGCACAGGATATCAGTGACGCCTTGGGGAGGAAAGTGCGCGAGGCAGGACACCTGGGGAGAGACCGAATTTCAGGTAGACAGTGATGTGAACAACGTTTTGCAAAGGAGCTTCTACACATGATAATGACAAATAAATGATTTAAAAGGTACTTATGTATGAACGTATACACACACATATACACTTGCAACATACGCCAAGAAAAGTTGTATTTTCGGTGTAACCAATGAGCTTTCTTCCTTGTCTGCCTTCTATCCCCAACAGAGCATAGGCCCTCAACCTTCTTGGCTGATGCATGCATCTCACCCCCATATCCTCCCCATCTTTTTAACTTAACTGTCTAGCTTCCTTCTCCATTAGTTTCCTTGATGTATATGCCTCGGTGGGCTCAGTGCGAAGACATTATAATTTTATTTTCTCTGTGTTTTATTCAATGTATGCCCTATCCAGCGGCAGCGTCTTTACTTTACCTCTTGGTCCACTGGAACTTCTTTCTGGACTTTTCCGTAGTTTGTTTTTGTGGCAATTTTTTTTTTAAGGGGATGAGGTAGTCAGTCCCAAGACAAACCTGGTAGAGTGTAGTTTTACTATTCTTTGCTTCCCATGAGGGCAGAACCACAGACACATGCGCGCGCATAAACCAAACCTCGTGACCACTGATCGCTGCGTTGTTTTACTTTACTACTGGACATGTAATATACCTACAGCAGTATGTCTGTCCAGTAGCCAGTTGATATCAAAGTCATCGTCATCTTCTCCAAAGGGATTGATCATTTGTTCTGCAACCTTGATAAAAAGATCAAAAAGTATAAGATGACTGAAGTTATTTTTTTCGCCAACACACACACACACACACACACAAACAAACAACAAGATGAGATGAGGAAAATAGGTTTCTTGTACCTTGTTGGTCGTTACTTGAGTTTATATTAGTAGCAGTAGTACATTTTACCCCACTGGGGCATCATACAAGCGATAAACACCCGATGACACAAAGTGCCACCATGTGGATGAGGATCACCTGTGGAGAGGTCCCGGAAACCGCGTTCAGCCATTATACCATATTTATGGCTGGGCTATATTGCGGCCCCTGGCAAGAGCTAGGGTGGGGCTTCAAAATAACGAAAAATTGTATCCCATGTCTGTTTGCAGAATTGAGGTTAGTCGCCTTTCACTACATGGCTTGAGGTTTGAAGAAGGGACCAACATCATGGCACACGGGTATTAACCCATAAGTGCTACTTTCTTCTTCTAACTCAAGTCTATGTCCAAAGAAACTCAGTATAGTTCGCATACTCTGTAGCACCAGCGAGGATCCTGAAAAACTTTAGGTAGATTTTCAACTCCGGATTGTGCTTAGGCAGCGCCGTTAGGCTACTCTTTTCGATTTCCAACTGCCAAGGGAATTGTTACGTGCGCAACAATGCACACGGGCGTCCAATCTCACTACCCAGAGACCAGGGGGAATTACCAGATGCCCAAGTCTGCTTGAAAAAATCCCAGCACCTGACGGGGATTGAACCAGGAACCTCTAGCACTCGAGGCAGACATCATGCCTCGAGACCACACAGCCCCCTCACTCACTACATGGTTATTGCGAGGCTGCATGCAGCAGGTCAATTATTTCTGTCTGCCAAAAACGGGACCTTTAACCCACACTAGAAGCCACTGTGCTGTAAATCTCCCATGTTGCAGTCAGCCCAGACAATTTACAACTTTGCTAGTGGATCTAAAACAAGTCTTGGTACTAACCTTCAGCCAGCCCATATAAAACAAGAACTGAAGAATCGTGAAGCCTGGGAAGTAGAAGTCGATTTCGAATCCCTTGTAGTTTTTGGCAGGATCCAAGTACTGTTGACCAAACAGACTTACCGCAAAATAGGAATACACCGCAAAAGTCACTACCTGGGGAGATGAAGCAGTTTACATGATAGTCGATTGGAAAGGGGGTGGGCAGGGTAGGGTTGTATAATTAAAGATAAAGGCAGAGCAGGATGTGTAAAAAATAGAGAGATTTGGCTGGGAGAAATGGTGGGTTAAACATACTAGAACTGTAGAGATGTGATAATCAGAGTAGGACTTGTAGAAGACGCAGACAGATACACTAAGACAGTAGAAATGCAGAGAATAGGAGGTAGACAGACTATGGTGGTAACAATGCTTAGATAGACAGACTATAATAGCAGAAGTAGGGACATGTGCAATCTTGGTTGATATAAATGGGCAGACAGATACAGATCTTAGAAATGGGCCGATAAAGAGGATATTATAAATGGTCCGATCGAGAGATAGGATAGTAGAAATAAGCCGACAGACATTCCATGCTTTTATAATAGGGAGACAGACTCAGTACGTATCATACTGATAGGGGTAGGCTATCCTGGTTTACCATCTTAAGTGATCACCAGTGTCACGAATGAGGTCAGTGTTTTTGTCCTGCTTTTCCCGTGCTGTCAAGTCTTCAAAAAATTAGTCTTATGATCTTCTCCTTGTAATGTTTAATGGCGTGCAACTCGTCACAGAACTTGCAAAATTTATTTTTCTCGCAACAGGGAACAATATGTGGCTACGTTTAGGTAAGTATGTAGTTGTACCCCAACAGGACATCACACAAGTGATAAACACCCGTTGACACAAAGTGCCACAATGCGGATGAGGTTCACTCGTTGACATGTCCCAGAAACCCCTTTCAGCCGTTAGGCCATATCTATGGCTAGGCCATATCTATACCCCGGCTATATTTAGGGCAAAAGACAGGGTGAGGCTTCAAATAACACACACACACACACACACAAACTGCATCCCACATGGGGACGACATTTTTTCTCTCTCTGATTAGTGTACGGTTTCAGTATATTTCTAGGAGAACAGCCTCTTTTGTTTTTCGTTCCGTATGTGATACTGTTGGTATTTGCTTCAGAAACGATAATTCTGTTGGCACCAGACGTTTCACAGCTTTTCATATGGTCCACGTTTCCACCTGCACTCAATGGTACAGGTCTTGACAGGCGTATTTGTAACATTTATTATTCACTGCAGTTGACTTATCTTCGCTGGTGGTTTAGACAACGAATCAATATCATGGGACAAGGTTAGTAACCCATAAGTGCTCCGTTCTACTTCTAACTCAAGCCGGAATCGGAAGATTCTCAGCGCTGTGCACAAACTCCGTAGCACCGACGAGGATCCCGAAATATTTAAGTTTTTTTTTTTAAACTTCCAATTTTTGGCCAGGGAGCGATGTTAGACTACGCTTTTCGACTTTTGACTGCCAAGACATTTTTTTTTTTACTTGCGCAACAATACACACAAGCGCCCGATCTTACTACACAGAGACCAGGGGAAACTACTAGAAGTCCACGTGAAAAAATCCCAGCCTTTACCGTGGCCTGAACCCGGGACCTCCAGTACACGAAGCGGATGCCATGCTTCGAGACCACTCAGTCTCCATTCTTCTACTCAGCGCCTACCAATCTTCTCTGGTATGGCTGGGAAAAGCCGCCACTTAACCATTTGAGACAAAGTTAAAAAGAAAAAAAAAAAAATGATACAATCAGACAGACTGTATGAACAACATCACGCACTAAATTCATTGAAAATAAGAAAATCGAGTGGTTTTTGTCATTTTATTAGAATGTAGACAAAATAGATACCAAGACAGGCAATACACACGAAAAGATCTGATGTGAAGTCAAGAGATCGTCCTGGGAGAAGATGGAATGATGGCATTAAAGACTTTCTCTGTCGACACGGAAAGACAATAGCCATTTCTACCCATCAAACAATGAATCGCAAAATGTTCTTTTCCACGCCGCTTACTGACACAAGTGGAAATTTATGATTTTGTCTATTGTTCCATCTTGTTGCAAAAAGCTGCTCTTTGCCATTTAGATTCGTGTTTAAAACTCCAAAAGTTTATGACTGTGTCCTGATAGCTGTACCCATTTCGTTATTTACATCTGGAACCTCTCCGTCTCTTTCTGTGTTAAACCGTGCAATGGAGAGGTATGGGAATCTTAGCCCATTGCGATTGCGAGTGTGACTAGCAAGAGCCGCTCACGGTAAGACAAGTCTTACACAATTAGACCACTGGTTTTCAGGACAACTGTTGCCATAACATATATTTAGTTTGCATCCTATATATGACCATCAGCACTCGACCTTTCCCCAGTAATTTCTTTTTCTTTTATTCTCTTTCCCTTCTTGATTTCCCCGCCCACTCCCTTTTTCCACTCAACATAGTCCATGTTTTTTGTTTGTACCGACGAATCTAGCTCAATACATGTATCACTCTTGTCCCAGTTGCTCACATTTGTATATCTTAGCAGTGGCCGAGACCTCCGTTATTTAAGAATGATCCTTTTTACGCAGTAGTGTTGTGAACGTATTGTTTTCTTCCTGTAGATGGTCATAATTTCTGGTTTTCTTCCAACATAATTAGGATCTGACCTGTTCACAGCGTATAGCCAACGCTGGAGATTCTTGATAATGTCTATATTCAATAGTGCATCACATACATATTTTATAGTGTTGGTATTTTCTTAGGTTACAACTGAAGAAACAAAAATACTGGTGTTTGTGCATTGCAGGAATGGAAAGATAGACAGGATTTGATTAAAGCAGAGACGTAAGAAATGGAACTTACAAATAATTAGATTTGCTGACAAACTGTTCAGACATTTAGAGACAGAAAATAATTATTAAATAAAGAATAAATCTATGACAGTTGGACAAGGAGTGTAGAAAATGAGAGTAATCCTTCGAAAGTATAAAGATGTCAGAAGTGTACTAAAGGTTAGTCAAACATAAGTATTGTAGAAATAAAGACACAGTTTTGAGGTTTTGAACAACGGATCAAAATCATGGCACACGCATGTAACCCATAAGTGCTCCGTTCTTCTTCTAACTCAAGTCTATGTCCGAAAAAGCTCAGCACAGTTTAAGGGCTCTGTAGCACCGGCGAGGATCCTGACAAACTTTTGGTAGATTTTAAACTCCAAATTTGGACCAGGCAGCCCTGTTAGGCTAGTCTTTTCGATTTTCAACTGCCAAATGATTTTGTATGTGCGAAACAATGCACATGGGTGTCCGATCTCACTACCCAGAGACCAGGGGGAATTACTAGACGTCCAAGTCCACGTGAAAAAATCCCAGCCCTTACCGTAGATTGAGCCCGGAACCTCTAGCGCTCGAGGTGGACACGATAAAGCCACTATGTATAAACTGAGAGAGATATTGACTTGACTTGTTAAAACAGATAGCCAGTGGAACAGACAACTAACCTGAGTATACACAAGCGGCACGGTGATCCAGTCGTAGACAAAACAAAGGGAGCATTTGTCGCGAAAATCTGCCAGCGACTGTGGAGAGATAAATATTATATGTATTAGCAATGGCGAGGCCTGATCGGTTCGCATTAACAAGTAACGATTACACTGGAGAGGTTGTCACATGATAATTTCATCTATGTTTCTTCGTAATAGAGATTATGTGTACACAGCTAGCATCACCATACTAGTACATGGTAGTTTTCAAACATCTCAGTTTCTGCCTCAGCTAGCTCTCTTTCTGCTATGTTCTAGATAACGACCTGTGACTCGATTTGATGTTTTGTCTAGCGACTCGCGACTCGACTTGCGACTTGTAGCTTCGATGACTAAGTGCGACTTGTACTTGGTGGCCGGCTATTGTGGATTTTGGTGTTCAACGTCATAATTTAAAACGTCTTCATATAAAACAGGACACAAAGTAATCCGTTTGTATTTATCAAAATTTTGCAATCGAATTGTTTCTGCTTTAACACACACACACACCACACACACCACACACACACACACACACACACACACACATATACATATATATCTCATTTAGTTTTTTTCCCACTGCCATTTCGGGTCTTGTATTGTCAACGCATTTGATTGTCCCATGCACGACTTGCAAAGGATTTGATATATAATGTGACTTGACTAAAAACTTGACTTTAAAGCATTCTTCTAAATCGAGACTTGAGTTGGGACTTGGTGGTAGTGACTTGAGACTCGATTTTGACTAGAAGTATGACGACTCAGTCCAGCCACTAGTAAACAGTAATAATGCACAGTAAAATAACATTTTTCTTTAGCAATGGAAACACAAGCGATTGTGAAGTGGTTCATTTGTAAGAAAATTAAGGGCGTTCAAACAAACATAAGACAGAGATATTCATCTGGTTTCTGGTCATACTATGGGAAGCGAAAGCTGCGTTTCAGAAAATGAAAAATATCTTATGCAATAAGTCACTCTCATTTAATGACAGAAAGAGGGTGCTGAAATGTTACATAGAACCAGTTCTGCTGTATGGCAAAATATCTTGGATTGTCAGTAAACAAATTAAGAAGAATTTGGAAGCAGCAGAGATATGGTTTCTGAGACGAATGTTATGAGTACCTTGTACCGCTAGAGTAACAAAAAGGATTGCTTGAAAGAAACTAATGAAAGTAGATCACTTTATTCAACAATAAGAAAGAGACAAACACTGCTCTTTGGCCACATAATGAGAAGAGAGACATTGGAGAACATCGTGACAACTGGAAAGATAAGTGGGAAAAGGGGGGGGGGGTAGAGGCAGACCAAGAGAGATTATCATGGATGGGCTGAAACGATGGCATGGAGGGATTTCATCAAGAGATCTGTTCCTGGCAAAAATGGTGATCATGATCAGTGGAGACGCATGAGCGCCTACACAAGTTGGCAAGACACGTGATGATGATGACTACGGGAAGAGGGTGTCACCGTGCCGTACGGTTAGAAGTTCGCGTGCGGATCGAAAGGTCGTGGGTTTGCTCCCTGGCCGAGCCTGGCTTTTTTCAAAAATGACCTTGACTTCCAGGTGGACGCATCCTTGAGTGGGTACCGGGTGCAGTCCCAGGAAGTGAAGGCTGCCGGCGCGATGCTGACCACATTACCCCTCTTGTGCCGTTTGGTCTATGAAAATATAGGTCTAACCCTATATGCCCTATACGCCCAAAGGCGTGGAAAAGGGTCTTTTACTTTTACTTTTTTATTTAAACTATAGGTAGACCGAAAATATGAACACTCTGTAACAACTGGAAGGATCTGTGGGAAAAGGAGAGAGAGGAAAATACCGCGGAAAGATTCTTGACAGTCCTTTGTCATGATCAGGTGGTGCGTCAGCTCAGGAACTGATACACGCTGCTGAAGATAGCAGATTGTGAAGAGTCGTGATCGTCCACGCCTGTCGACAAGTTTCCTAATGATGATGATGAGTACTATGATGTGCTCTATGGTAACATAGAAATCATTGCACATGGTGACGGCGAGTGTGACTGGCAAGACCCGCTCGCGTAAAAAAAAATGTTGCTACAGTTCTGGAATGGGATTTCGAAATCCCCTCAATAGGTAAAAGAAAAAAGAAAAATCAGTTGCACAAAATAGTTTATGGCAACTGATACCGGCCTCTGCAACATTTGTCCCCACTCTAATATGCAAATGTAACACATCACTGGTTTATGTAGCACTAAAATAACAGTGCCCACTACTATCATACATTTTCTCAGCAACAACAAAACACTACTTGACACACTCATTGACGTCTCTACGTCCGTTCGGTAGCAACACACAGTCTTATCTAATTACCTCTACAGTGTAAATGTTGTAACATTTTTTTGTTGTTGTTTGAAAAGCAAACTCAGTTTTTTTTTTTTTTTTTAAATTAATCTGTTTTACAACATTCAAAACATAATCTGGGTAACTACGCCATTTTTAGACTTAATGTTTGTCCTTTAGTGTGGCTCCTTTAATAATGTCATGTCAGTTTGCGTATACAAACCTACACATTATTTTGCTTTTTAAAGTTTCAGGCTATCTACAACATTTTTACCAGGTTCCTTTCCGTGGCCCTGTTAACTTTAATCTGTTTGTGCAGACCAGTATATTTGTTTTAATTATAAAGTAAAAGTAAAGGACCCCTTCCACATCTGTCAGGCCTATTAGGTATATAGGGCTACACTTATATTTCATAGACCTAATGGCACTTGGTGGATGATGTGGTCAGCATCACGCCGGCCGCCTTTACTTCCCAGGAGTGTACCTGTTACCCACTCAAAGCAGGTGCGACTTGGAAGCCAACTCCATTCAGGAACTGAACTCACGACCTTCCGATCCGCAGCCGAGCGTCTAGCCGCTAGACAACAGCGTCTCCTTTGTTTACATTATGCTAGATTAAAAAAAAAAAAGGAACGCCAATTAAAGTTGTGCTTATAAATACAAGGGGACAGCTCATCTGACGAACAGACCTGAGCATAAGAATCCAAATGCAAAGATGAAGAAATAATTTTTTTACGATTTGTATCATCATCATCATCATCATCATCATCATCATCATCATCACCATCATCTACAAAATCATTATAATTAAAAGGGGCTGCGTGGTCTCAATGCATGGTATCCTCAAGTGCTAGATGTTCCAGGTTCAATTCCCGGTGAAGGATGGGATTTTTTCACATGGACTTGAACTTCTAGTAATCCCTCCGGGTCTCTGGGTAGTAAGGTCGGACGGCCGTGTGCATTGTTGCGCATGTAACAAAATCTTTTGGCAGTTGGACATCGAAAAGAGTAGCCTGACAAGGCTGACCGGGAAAAAAATTTGGAGTTAAAAATCTACCCAAAGTATATCAGGATCCCCGCCGGTGCTACAGAGCCTGTGCACTGTGCTGAGCTTCTTCGGACTCAGACTTGAGTTAGAAGAAGAACAAAGCACTTAAAGGTTACTACCCGTGTGCCATGATGTTGATCTGTTGTTCAAAACCTCAAAACCTCATTATCATTTAAATTAAAACCTTACATTGTGTTAGAAATTACACTGACCAAGCCTTTTTCTTGCAACACGTCAATATTGTTAGGAACGATGGACTAACAATTATGCATCAATGCACCAGACCTTTATTCGCTGATGAATGTCAACATGTTCATGCCTTCACTGACAAAAAACGAAAGGCCCTTTTCAAACAGTCATTAAAACATCACCGTGTTCGTCTGCGTTGTAATGTCGCGTGCGTAACACTCCTGACATTGTTAACAACAATATTGATATGTCATAAGACATTGATTTGATTACTGTAATTTCTATCACATTTTTAAGGTTTATATTTGAAACCTCCTGGTACAATGAGGGGAGTTAGCGGTTATAGTTTACCGTCGACTGGCAGACTCACAGAAGTGTCGCTACAACCAAACTGAGCAGGCGAATAGTTAAAAGGAGGAGCCGACAGAGAAAAAAGAAGAGGGCGCTGAAGATGACAGTGTTTATAATAAAGAACAACAACAAGAACAACAACAAGAACAACAACAAGAACAACAACAACTACTACTATTACTACTAATACTAATAATACGACGACCACCACTACTACTACTACCATTACTACTACTACTGCTATCATTAATTCTGCTACCACCACCACAACCCTCACTACCACCGCCACTACTACTACTATAATTAGTACTACTACTGCTGCTTCTATCACCACTACTACCACCATTACGACCACCACCACCACTACTACAGTTACTACTACTGCTGCTGCTACTGCTGCTGCTACTACTACTACTACTACTACTACTACTACTACTACTACTACTACTACTACTACTACTACTACTACTACTACTACTACTACTACTACTACTACTACTACTACTACTACTACTACTACTACTACTACTACTACTCATTCATTCATTCATTCAGTAGCATGTCCCTCGCGGAACCTCGCTGCCATAACAACCCTCCGGAAAACCTTCCTATCCTGAGCAAGATGTCCTGCGTCTGATACACCCATCTGGAGATCATCTGCCACATCCTGCACCCATCTTCTCCTTGGCCTTCCTCTTCCTCTCTTCCCAGGCATATACCCCTCCATTATTGTTCTCTCTAGACTACTACTACTACTACTACTACTACTACTACTACTACTACTACTACTACTACTACTACTACTACTACTACTACTACTACTACTACTACTACTACTACTACTACTACTACTACTACTACTACTACTACTACTACTACTACTACTACTACTACTACTACTACTACTACTACTACTACTACTACTACCACCACAACCACCACCACCACCACCATCACTACAGCAGCAACAACAGGAATAAAAAAAGACATTCAGCTACCAATGAAACATCCACAAACCTCAATGATCATTCTGAGACCGAACTCAGTCTCTATCTTGTTCTCCCTTCTTGCAGTGACCAAAATCTGGTTGGCCCACATCAGCGGAACAAAGAACTTTTGATACTTACACTCAGTATTCTCGAACATCACCTTCTCCTCCTTTGTAATAAACCCTGTGAAAAATTGATTAATGAGAACTTACAAGTAGATTCTTCCCATGTTTTAATTACCAGAAATCAAATCACGTATCAAGAGAAAGTACAAGAAATTGTGGAGAGAACAAACCAACTGTAAACATCCATTAGATCCCATCAACAGACTCAACATAAAACAAGTTACAACACTTTTGCGTCTCAGAGCAGGAAGGACACTGCAGCTTCAGCTACAACGTGTATAAAATAAAGACTGTAAAGTCCACTTGGTGTGCATTGACTTTTTAGCTTGCTTTGCGGGAAAAAAAAAATCTCTACATTCAACCAGCATCCCAAAAGAGGGAGCTTTTGGTTATACTTGTGACTAGGTTCATGTGTGCCATGTAAAATAGCTTACCATTGCTTGCCACCAAGTAGCCCTGAGGGGGACTTTTAAAGTGCTGATGCGATCAAAAGAGACAGACTCAAATACTGTCTCGACCGGCGTTGAAGTCGTATACCGGCGTGTCAATGGGCGAACCGGTCGCTGAGATGCAGTGTGCCAGATAGGACTAGAAATACATGAGCACATTCGGATATCTTCCGAATAACGGTCCTAAATTATCAAGGCGGAAAATAGTCACGTGTCAATTGTGCACTTCCGAGGACTATACCGCCACCCCGGAATTGCGATCTTCCGGGGACTATACCGCCAACACCGAGAGTATCCCCCACGCGGCGCGGATTGGGGCTAAACTAGATGGCTGGGACACACGAGCTGATAAAATGAAGTCAGCTGCAGGAGATGCAGTAGCTGCTGCTCGTGAGTCCCAGCCATCTAGTTTAACCTCAATCCATGCCACGTTTGCGGCGTGGGGGATACTTATCGGCCCTGGCGGAAGTCCCCGGTAGTGAGCAATTTAAGTCCCCGGAAGTTCGCATTTGGCTCGTGACTGAGGCTCTGTTTGGGTATTTTTTTCCGCCTCGATAATTTGGGACCGTTATTCGGAAAATAGCCGCACATCCTGCAGGCCTGCCCACTGTACCTCAATTATGAAGAAAAACCTGGCCTCAAGAGCGAAGTGTGCAGAGCAAGCTATAGGGAAACATAAAGGACTTGCAGCTGTCATGAGAATTCTTAGAGGCAGCCCACTTGACGGTAAAGACGTATATACGATAAAGACGTACACATAGATAGACTGGCATATCTAGGGACAAAAGGACTGCCTACCAGAGAAACAGACAGACTGACTGATAGACATAGACAGACATCCCGACGTATACACATGCCTACCAGCATCTACAATATGGTCGAGTGTCGGAAACCGCTTCATCACAGACAGACTAATAGCCCGACAAATCCAAATGAGGCCGAACATCATGTACCTGCAGACAAATCGTTACAGACAGACAATTAGTGCAGACATCAGCTAGCTGTTGACAGATGCCGAAAATTGTTCACATTTTGGTAATCTAATATTGCTGTCATTCACGCACTCTTTTTTTTTCTCTTTTTCCCTCTTATCCTTCTCTTTCTCGTCTCTTTCTATCTTTCTTTCTGTTTCTCTCTCACACCCTCCATTCCATTTCTTGCTCTATTTATCTGTTTTCGCGTAATCTCGATACTTTCTCACGTTTTCTGTATTTTCCCGCCTTTTTCATATCTCTTCATTCTCTTCCACTCCCCCCCCCCCCCTCTCTCTCTCTCTCTCTCTTTCACTCTATCTATCTCACGCTGTCTTCCTTTTCTCGCTCGATTTATCTAGGTCAGTTCATTCTCTATAATATTTTTCTCTTTCTCTTCAGATTTTTCTTTTCCCTTTCGTAATTCTTTCTCTCTCTTTCTCTCTCTCTTTCTCTCTCTCTCTCTCTCTCTCTCTCTCTCTCTCTTTCTTTCTCTCTCTCTCTTTCGTTTTACTCTGTCTTTTTAAATTGACAGATCTCTTGATCAACTGTAATTTACAGCAACTTCCCCCTCCCCGCCCCCTCGAAATACGAAAGTCTACGTCTACAGTTAACATTTGATTTACCTGTTTTTTATTCATCTATGTGCCTCTAGGGCCGTATCGATCTTGTGGGGTTATTTACATGTTCATGTGGTCGTGGATGTATGACAAACCGATCACCTTTACTTCCCATATTATTATATTATACCAATTTTGTATCTGTGACAACGCGTGAGACATTTCCGTGTGCTATCAAGCTAGACCCCTTTACTACCTAAAACACTTCAATGAACTCATTTTTAGGCTGTACGGACCATCAAGCCAACATGTCTCAGTGTGCTAGCCCACTCATTTTTAAAAGGCTTATGGACATTACGGATGTAATGTTCAGTATTCAATTGGTTATTTTTGTTTCCTCCAGGATCGTAGGCTGTATGGGAATTTTCCGCATTCATTCGAAGATGTAATTGCCTTGTATCCGTTTACAGACTAGCTGCGATATTTGCGCCTTTTGGCCAAGACATCGGATTTTCTGCAGGCATTTCTTGACTGAGTTAGCCTTGCCAGTTAGGATGAGAATAAAAGCGGTATAAATTTCAGAAACGCCATTCTACCGTATAGCCATTTAGACAGTTGCGTATCCCTTACAGGACGTTGCAGAACCATCCCAGTATTTTTTGCTGTTGTGGTTTTTCTAGGCAATTTTTTTCCTCCAGTAGTTTGTTATTGTTGTCTAAATGGTCATCTCTCGGTACCACTATCGAAGCTAACGCAAGACAAATCTTCCGCAGCTGGGATCGAACCCGGCACCTAGGCACTACGAAGAGCGTTCGCCACGCCTAAGCCACAGACGTATAGCCATATATTCTTCTTAAAGTCCATGCCGTGTGGCACTGGTAGTCATGTCTGCACACAACCTTCTGTCTCGTGTACTTTCAATCAACTCCCACACAGATGTTCCTCCATGCCATGACGTTAAACTCCCAGCCTCTTTTCGCCAGTGTCCCTCTGTCTCTCCTCCCCTCCAGCTTTCCTACCCTCGCGATGTACTCCAGTTTTCTTCTTCTCATAACACGACCAAAAAATGCAGACCCCTCTTTCTATTGTGAGCAATCAGTTCTCTTCGTGAGTCAGTTTCTTTTAAAACATCCTTATTACTCTTTTTATCTGTTCAGGGTTTTGCCATCATTCATATGTAAATCACATCCTTGCAGCTTCTAAATAATTTTTCGCTTATCCACCAACTGTCCCTGATTTACTTCCCTTTATCAAGATGGGATTTATACAGCTTTTAAGAATTCTCTTTCTTGTCTCAATTGACAAGGACAGATTGCATAAAATATTCTTCATTGTTTAAAGTTAGAGGTTTTGAACAACGGATTAAAATCATAGAACACGGGTGTAACCCATAAGTGCTCCTTTCTTCTTCTAGCTCAAGTTTGAGTCCGAAGAGGCTCAGCACAATTCACAGGCTCTGTAGCACCGGCGAGGATCCTGAAATACTTTAGGTAGATTTTAAACTCGAAATTTTGCCCGGGCAAAGCCGTTATGCTACTCTTTTCGATTTTCAACTGCCAAGGGATTTTTTACGTTAGCAACAATGCACACATGCGTCCGATCTAACTGCCCAGATACCCGGGAAAAGTCTAAGTCCACGTGAAAAAATCTCTGTCCTTACCTGGGATTAAACAGGAACCTAATTGTTTGAAATGCTGCCATAAAGCACAGTTATACTGGGTCACCACAAAACGGTTACAAAGTAGCATGTAGTCCAGTGTTGGTGGACACTGGCCATCTTTACTATCCACAACATTTATCTACTGTGTCGGCCTCGGAGTCCGGTCCAACTTTAAAATCAGCCACTGCGAGGATTTGGGTCTTTGACCACCAGACCATCAGGTCAATGCAGTGACCCAGTGTTGATTAAACGTAAACGTGTGTTTACAGGAGAGAGGTTCCTCTTTATGCCTCCCCCGCCACCCCAGCTCCCTAGCTCCAGCAACGACTCCCAATCATCACTGAAACACGATCGAACTCGAAGCGAAAGACTGTGTCGTGAATCGAGCCTGCAGTCTTCACGGCTTGTGACAAACTGCGTTACCACATGGCCACTGAGAATAATTTAACCGAGCATGACTTTTGTTTTTTCAGAAATGACATTGGCTCCAATGTCAACCAAGTCGGAAATGTCATGGGAAGAAAAAGCGGCCGGTATGATTTTTACCAGTCATCCACTGAGTGCTGATGTTCTATAAAATATAAGTCTAGACGCCCAATTCGCATGAAACCTTTAGGTAGGTGTTTTGCTGGAAAAAAAAACTTCATCGGGGTTAACCGTCATCTTCGAAGGGGGATCTACAGGTTATAATTGTGACTAGGTTATATGACCCCAAAAATGTTCCGGCCGGCGACGAAGTCGTCTACCATCGAGTCAGTGTACGACCCGTGCGCGTTGATATGCCTGAAGGCGTAGAAAGGGGTCCTTTAAATTAACTTTTACTTAGAAGAGTATAGGCTAGCTAAGACTAATGATATATTTACCTGGAGAAGAGTATAGGCGAGCTAAGACTAATGATATATTTACCTGGAGAAGAGTATAGGCTAGCTAAGACTAATGATATATTTACCTGGAGAAGAGTATAGGCTAGCTAAGACTAATGATATATTTACCTGGAGAAGGAGTATAGGCCTAGCTAAGACTAATGATATATTTACCTGGAGAAGAGTATAGGCTAGCTAAGACTAATGATATATTTACCTGGAGAAGAGTATAGGCTAGCTAAGACTAATGATATATTTACCTGGAGAAGAGTATAGGCTAGCTAAGACTAATGATATATTTACCTGGAGAAGAGTATAGGCGAGCTAAGACTAATGATATATTTACCTGGAGAAGAGTATAGGCTAGCTAAGATTAATGATATATTTACCTGGAGAAGAGTGTAGGCGAGCTAAGACTAATGATATATTTACCTGGAGAAGAGTATAGGCGAGCTAAGACTAATGATATATTAACCTGGAGAAGAGTATAGGCTAGCTAAGACTAATGGTATATTTACCTGGAGAAGAGTATAGGCTAGCTAAGACTAATGATATATTTACCTGGATAAGAGTATAGGCTAGTTAAGACTAATGATATATTTACCTGGAGAAGAGTATAGGCGAGCTAAGACTAACTATATATTTACCTGGCCACGGAACGCCTCATCATGCGCGCCCTGTCGTCAAATCCGTGTAAGTAGGCAGACATTAAAAACAGAGTCCTGCAACAGAAATATAGAAAAATAGGTCGCACTTCATGGAAACAAAAACAGTCAAACAGGCAGGCTCAAGAGAGACTGAGAATGGAAAGGGTCATGTTGAAAGAGATTTATAACAGGTAACTGAAATATTTAGAATATATCAAAAGCAAAAAAACTCTTTTAAAAAATCATACTGGTGTGGAAAATCAAAGGTAAGAGTCCAAAAGGTTGACAACGATATAAGTGGGAGGACAATATTAGGAGAAGGACAAACAGCAGTCTGAAAGAGTGTACTATCCAGATAAGAGAGGAAGGAAGGGAGAGGGGGGGGGGGGGAGAGTTTCTGTGAGCTGAAAATCTATTGCAGCCAGCCGTCATTGTTGAGACTATAACTGATTGATTTATTGAAAAGAAACTGATTGATTTATTGTAACGACACCGACTGATTTTTAAAGACACTCCGATTGATTTACTAAAGAGACACACTGACTGATTTTTCGAAGAGACATTGATTGATTAATTGAAGAGACACTGATAGATTTACTGAAGAGACACTAATTTATTTATTGAAGAGACACTGTTTGATTTATTGAAGTGACACTGATTGATTTATTGAAGAGACACTGATTTATCGAAGAGACACTGTTTGATTTATTGTAGAGACAGTGATTGATTTATTTGAGAGACAATGACTGATTTTTTGAAGAGAAACTAATTGATTTTTCAAATGACGCTGATTGACTTATTGAAAAGACACTGACTGATTTCTTAAAAAGAAACTGATTGATTTTTTAAAGAGACACTGACTGATTTATTAAAGAGATACTGATTAATTTATTGAAGGGAAATATTGCCCATATTTGGTTAGATTATCATAGCTGATGATCATCCAAAGTGGGATGTTAACATGTACAGATTTGCTTATGTGATGTTAGCCTCATAATCTTAAAGATCGGTTGGCCCAAGATGAGTGATGTAGTCAATGCTATGTTGGCTACTTTTACTTTCCAAGACATTTCCTGGGCACCGGTTTAGCCTGGGTCAACCCGAGAACCAATGCCAATGAATTTATAAGAATTAGATTTTATGTTCATATTAACCCAAAAGCTACGAGCCGGCAGGCAAACGTCATACCACTGTGCTACCACGTCCAGAGAGGAGATACTATAGAAGACATCATTAGAAGTATATTAAAGGT